TTGGGGACCCAAACTGATTTAAACAGATACTATCTTTCTTTAAAAAGAAGGGAAAGTATCCAAACACTTTTGAAATAACTTTCTCTTCCTCCTTTTTTCCTGCAGCGCCTCGGCCGGCTCCTGGCTCCTGCCTCCAAGGGAGGGAGGGGACGGGAAGGCCCTTTTCTACCCTCCCCTTCTCCCACAGCGCTGGAATTCTCCCCGCGGCCTCCTTTCCCCCGCAGCCCGGCACCCCCGCCTGCCTCCCGCCTGCGAGCAGCCTTCCTCCTGCCCTGGAAAGAAGAATAACTGCAATAATAAAAGAAAATGCAACATACTCTAGTGTCGCTGCGGCTGCCTTTCCGTGGGAAGTGGGATCGAGGGTGGGGGGGTTTTGGGGGGGCCTGAGGGAGGTTTTAATGTCTGAGAATTCCACCAAATCTCTTCATGGACCGTTTTGAAAATTGCTCTAAAAATGCAAACGTGCAACTTTACTGTTGCTGTTCCTCCTCTCCTCTCATCAAAGGATGAGAAATCCTTGCCAGCCTTTTCTGGCTTTGGTGATGTGTCAGCAGGCGGACAAAGCTCTCCCCTGCACACTCTCCATTCAAAGCCCAACCAAACACGCACACACACACAAAACACACACACACACACAGAAGAGAGAGAGAGAGACACGGTGTCCCTGTTTTCTGTAGCCTTTTGCCGAGGAAAGAATTCTGCAGCCCTTTTCTTGATCTTCCCAAGAAGGAGGTGTGTGTGTGTGTGTGTGAGGTTTGGGGGGCCAGAATGGGTTTTTTTTTTCCCAGGGTGTGTTCATGTGTGATAGTTGCACCATTGTTCTTTCTTGAGGCCTGGCATTGAAGGAAGGCCCTCTCCAATCCTGGGGATTTAGAGGGGATTTAGATAAAAAAGAGGTTGGGTTACAGGGTGTGCTTCCTCCTCCTCCTCCTCCTCCTCCCTGGGCTGAGTCGACTGCAGCACCTCTTATCCCTTAATACCATGTTACCGGACACCCATGGCCCAAAGCGTTGCATAAGCCCCACTTCCTGTCAAATGCCAGGGAGAGATATAAATTTGGGTGCCCCAGTGGGCACGCCATCCTTTCCGGCAACTGAGAAGTGTCAGGACCAGTATGGAGGCCACCCTGCTCAGCCTCGCCGCGTTCTGCCTCTTCGGTGTCCAGGCCGACGTGGAAGTGGATCCAAATTTCGACCTTAAAAGGGTACCGGTTGTGGGGAAGAAGGCCTGGGGCACGTCCGAGCCACTTCCAGGGCTCCAGATGTGGGCGAGAGCTGGCCAGCCCACCTCCCAAACCGCAGCCCTCGTGCGCACACCTGGCTGCGGATCTCCTGCGCGAAATATTCTGCGGTCCTCAGCCAAACCGCCTTTCCATAGTCCAGCGCAGTCTACCTCAGCAGCGTAAATGTCAGGGCTTCCTGAGGTTTTACAGCTTCACTGTGGTCTGTTGGGCAGAAGCACCCGCTGTTCCAGGGTCAAAATGCAAAGGGTCAATGCCCCGGGAGGGTGAGGGCTGGGCGGGAGGGAGAGAGCAGGTGTGCCAGTCTAACCATGGCGGGGGGTGGGGGGTTGGCTTTGCAGTTTGCAGGGAAGTGGCACGTCCCGGCACTCGCCTCCACCGACCCGATGCTTCAGAGCCTGAAGGACATCATCACGACACCGGCAGCCCGGATCGTCGCCTTACCAAATGGCAACCTGGAAATCGAAACATACTACCTATTGTAAATACCTTTTGTGGTTGGGTCTTTCCGTGATCTTCCTCTCCTCCCCCACACAACAGTACTGCCCTGGGGAGGGGACGGCAAAGGTTCACCCAGCCCGGATTTAAGCCAAGTGCAGGAAACTCCCTCCTGATCCAGAGGTGGAATTCAGCCGGTTCTGACCGGTTGTCGAGAACCGGTTGCAGAAATTTTGAGTAATTCGGAGAACCGGCAAATGCCACCTCTGACTGACCCCGCCAACCCCATCTCTTCACTGCCTACTGAGTTCCAGCTGATCGGCTGGCTCTTCTTTTGTTGCCTTGCACAGGAGAACGGAGCTGGAGAGCAGGTTAGCGGGGTGGGGAGGGAACAGGGATTTTGCCTTATCCTCCCCTTGCCACACACACCAAGCCACGGCCACAGAATCATTAGTAAGAAATTTTGAATCCCGCCACTGTCCTGCTCCCTTCGGGATTCCGGAGTGGTGCCCCAGGACTAAATCTCTGGGAGCAACTGGAACCTACTCGCTCACACACACACACACACGCACACACACACACACGCACCCCAGGTGGGGGCATCTCTTTTGTCAGCCCAAACTCCAACCCCCGCACCCACCCACCCCCCACCCACGCGACTTCTCTTTGCTGCTTTCAAGGGGAGAACATTGCGAAGGGATGAAAGGGACTTACGTGAAGACGGAGCAGCCCGGACACTTCACCTCAAGTGACGGTATGGAGGGAGACCAAACAGGGCTTCCTTTCTAGAAAAGAGAAGTGAGAGGAGATGCGCGTGACTCTGAGCAGGTGCAGAGTGCGCCCCCCCCTTTGGTTTTCCAGAGAGTGTGGGTGGTGGGGTGGGAAGTTGGGTTGGCGGGGTGCGGGGAGAAGGGCCTGGAGGGAGCCTCCCGCTGACTGGGCCTCCCCCTCCCTCTGCAGAGAAGGGCAAGAAGGACCTGCGGGTGCTGGCCAGCAATGCCAACTTCGCCATCGTCTACGTCCAGTGGAAGATGAACGGGATGCCCCCCAGCAGGAGTCTCCAGTTTTACAGTGGGTGATTGGGCAGAGGCGGAGGGCCCTCCCGCTTCCTGGACCCCAGGGCCACAAACCAAAGCAGCTGTGGACGATGGGTGTGGGGAATGACGGTTGCTTCTTCCGACCATGGGGCTCCCTTGCTCTCTTCTCAACGGCTTTGCCTGCCCCTCAGCCTTGCTCCCTTCTGCAGGAGTGTCGAGCAAGCCTTGAACTCAGATCTTCCCTGTCCCTAAATTGTGTCTGTGCGTGTGCGTGCGCACACATATGAGTTCCCATCAGGGAGTTTGGAGGTCACGTTCAATGCCCGTGTGAGTAGCTCTAACCCTCCTCCCTGTGTCCCCCTTTCCCCACGCAGGCAAAGACCCCAAAGGAACGGAGAACCTGGACAAATTCAAGGCCTATTGCCAGAAGATGGGGCTCATGGGCGAACTGGTGGTTCCACCCTTGTCCGGTGAGCGGAGTGACCCTTTTGTGGGTGTCGAGCCCATGGGTAACCCCAGAGGAGGCGGAAGAGGGCAGACGGGGAGTGGAAGCAGCAGGAAATTGTAGCTAAGAGAACTGCCAGCCTCACAGGGAGGGTGGGGACCCCATCACCCAGGCCCCCAACACTCTCCCCCCCCCCCCGGGGGGGGGGGGCCCCCCCCCCCCCGCCCCCCCCCCCCCCCCCCCCCCCCCCGGCTGAGAAGGAGCTGCTGCCCTCCTGCCTCTTAGTGGTCCCTAAATCATTCCCAGCCCCTGAGACTAAACCAGTCTCCTTCTCTGCATTGCAGATAAATGTTTCCAGCAAATCAGGTGAGTGTTGTTACTTTACAAAGGGTTGAAATGGGCCGGGGAGGGGAGGAGGAACTGCCTTTATTAGGGTGGCATGCGGGGGGGGGGGGGGGGGCTGCCCTCCAGCTGTTTGGGTGCAAGAGAAGAGCTGCCTCTAAACCGCCATTGGCGAGCGGGGAGGTTACGCACCCCGTAAAATTACCCCTCTTTCTGCTCCTTTATTTTCCAGTGGCTGAAGAGAACCAGCCAAAGACCCTCCTTTCGCCAAGATACTTCATCCCGGAAGCCATGATTGCTGGTCTCCCACTTTCCCCTTCCTCATTTTCCTTCCCTGCCTTCCTTTCCCTTCCGTGGAATAAATAGATTACAACTTCCCCTCTTTTTTAGCCATGTTTTTTTTGGGGGGGTGGGGGGCAAGAGCTCCTGCAGGTCCTTCCGACTGCCCGAGGCTGCAGGAAACCTGATGTGTTGGAAAAAAACTGCTGCTTGAATTCATCCCCGTAACACAAATGACAATGCTGTACCTTTAATCCACTCAGATAACTGAATTTACCCTAGAGGGGTGCGAAGTTAAAGTTAAGACAATAGGAAACTAAAAAGAGTAAACTTCTGGATTATTATTTCTTCTTCTTCTTCTTCTTCTTCTTCTTCTTCTTCTTCTTCTTCTTCTTCTTCTTCTTCTTCTTCTTCTTCTTCTTCTTCTCCTTCTCCTTCTCCTTCTCCTTCTCCTTCTCCTTCTCCTTCTCCTTCTCCTTCTTCTCTGCCAGTCTTATCAATCACATGTTTTCACACAACTCTCCACCTATAACATTTCAAACACAAGCTTTTGTTTTTATAACGCCCGTGAAAACAAGATCTCCCTGTTTTTAAACAACGGGAGAAGGAACGTCTGAATCGGATCCAAGTTTCAGCCTTAAAGCTGCTGCCCGGTTAGACAGGGGGGTCTCATTTCAAGCTGCCTTCTCTATCGCTCTCTTGACCATGAAAACTCTCTGGCTGCCATTGCTGTGGTCTCAGTCGTGCCTGAGCTGCCTGGAGGGCATTTGGATGTTCCCTTGGCGTTGGGTGCCTCAGTCTTGCTGCGAAAGGGGAGGAGGGACAAACAGGGAGCACAGGGCAGCTGTCTTTGGCCAACCTTCACCTTGAGGGCAGCGGGAGAAAGCAGCCAGGCTGGCTTTCCTGACTGGACGCCATCCAAAAGCCTCCAGGCTCCTAGGTCGGGCACAGCAATGACCCTTTGTGCCAGTTGACACAATCGCCCTTTGTGCTGGCCGCGATGACCTTTTCCGGCGCCACCGCAGTTCAGAGACGATGCCGGCCATCGGGAGGGGAAGGGATGTCCGAGTGCTATAAAAGCCACTGACCTCCAGGGACAGCTTCTCCAAGGCTTAGCAGGGACCAAGCACCTGGGCAGGATGAAGCTGTTTTGGCTGGCTGCCTTGGGGGTCGCCTTTCTCTGTCTTCCGGCTTTGGCCTCTGAGGAGGTCAAGCAATGCGCCCAAGGGGAGGTAAGTGAGCCAGGCTGCCTCTCCCTGCAAAAGAGCCCCCCGATAAGCTGGGCAGGAGGCAGGACATCTAGATGGGCTGCCCCGATCCCACTTCCCTGGCAACGGCCGCCAACCAAGCTGACCAAGCTTTGTCCCCCCCAGCTCCTAGGGCCGTGGTACGTTCACGGCATAGCCTCCAATTGTGAATGGATGGTGCAGTTTGTGGTTAAGGAGATGATGACCTCCAACATAACCAGCCAGGAGGAAGGAAGCTTCGCAGTCTCTCTCCGCTTCACGACGTAAGTGCCCACTGTGCTGGGCCAAACCTGGACCCATGGGCCCTGCCTTCTGCCCCCTGGCTGGTTGGCTGGGAGGGTGGGCCCTCGTGCCTTGGAGAGGGAGTGCTGGATTCCAGCCGCACCCAGGCCCGCCTGTCCTGGAACGCCTGCCGTGGCCCCAGGAGATCTCAGTGGGGATTTAAAAAGAACCGACCTTTTTTAAGCAGGAGAACAAGGCTGTTCCAAGAAGCAGAGCCCCCCCCCCCTGTCCCCCAGCAGCTCTTGAAGGACTGAAGTGGGGGGAGGGGGGGGCTGAGTGAGGCCAACCTCTCTTGGGCACAGGGAGGATGCTGTGCCGCCCAGCACTGCTGCCCAGCAGTGCCTGGAGTCTGGTTCTGCAGCACCTAACGGCTCGTTCCGTGGCTTAATTCTACAGGGAGGAATACGGACCCATGGACACAGAGATGATCTACACAAAACAGGACGATGGGAAATACGTGTACAAAAGTGGTTGGTATAAGTCGGAGGGGCTCCTCTGTCGCCGGAGGGGCATCTAGCCTGGTCACTTCCTCTGGAGACCCGTGGTGATCTCCCAACGTGGGTCCTGCTCAGCAGAGCCCAGGACCTGCAGCCCAGCTCCCTTTTAGGGCTTAGAGAATCAGGGAGGGGCCGGGAAAAGCACCCTGGACCATCCTGGGTATCTCTGCTCCAAATGAGCAGAGCTATTCCTCCACCTCCTGGCTTCAGGAGATGATTTCAGGGCCCTTTGTCATGCCTTTGCAAAAGACGTTGAAACTGAGGAACTCCCTTCCACTTGAAACATCTGGGCCTCAGTCTACCCATGCTGAGAGGAGTTAACCTTTCAAGCTGCCCATTGAGGATTGAATCAGCCCAAATGAAACCTTTTTTTTTTTCTTGTTTTGGTACTTGATTTCACATTGAGGTATTGTTTACATGTGTGGCTCCTGTGCTAAATGGAGGTTAATAATAGAACAAACTATCAGAATGTACCCAGGAGGATTTCAGGACAGGACAAACCTGCTTTGGCCAGTGCATTCACTCGGGGGGTGGCCTTCTTCTTTCTCTTTCTGCCAGAATGGGGGGACAAGATCTTAGAAAAGAGGAAGACGGATTGCAAGACCTACATCATGACCAATGTCAAAGATGTGAATGAGACCTTTGACAAATTTTGCAGTTTTGCATCGCTCTACGGTGGGTATCCAGAGCGCCAAGGGTGGGACGGGAGGGTGGGAGAGAAGGAAAATGGCTCAAGACTTATTCCTCCGTTTGCACATCCCTCTTCTGACCAGCGGTGATTCTGGATTGCAAAAGGAGGCGGTCTCTCTGTGAGGCCCCTTGCCCCAAACGAAAAGGACAGGAGGGAAGCCCCACACGTGGTCCTCTTCCATCTCTCCCTTTTGGGTAGCCAGGTGGCCTCCCTAAGATGGACCCGCAAAGGATGCTCACCCTGAACAGTCCAAGGGTTTGAGATCAGTGCAACCAAGGCATAATAAGCCTCTGGAGAGGGGCAGTCCTGCCGGGCGGAGGCTACCCTCCCCTCTGATGGGGAGACAGGGGTGGCCACGGGGTTAGCCACGTCAGCAGCATGGTGATGTCCCCACTTCTGGCTTTGTGTTTCTGGCTCCACCTGCTGCAAGGAATCAACAACCGGCTTCTCTTTCCAGCCTGACCCAACTTTTCCCTGGGCTCAGCTGAACCCCTGGCCCATCACGGGGCCTGCGTCGATCAGGTGTCACTCTGGCACCGCGAAGATCAGGGTGGATTCCATCTTCAGGGCTTTCTTTGGGATGGAAAAGGTGTCCCCGTCTTCATGCCTTTTGGTGTCCATCCTAAATGAAGGGCCTTCTCCCCACGGACATCTGGGAGAGAGATCCAAAAAAACCCGTTCAGGACCGCCTCTTCTTTCCTTTCCGCAGGCAGGACGATGTCTATATCCGACGCCCTGAAGCAGTCCTTCATAGACTTTGCTACGGACTTACAGATAGACAGAGAACAGATATTCCTTTTGCCCAAGAAAGGTAAGATGCCAAGAGGGGCCTCGGTCAAAGGGCTTCTCTCTCTCTCTGAGAAGCCAAGAAAGAAGGACGCCTTCACTCCACGGGGGGCCGGGAAGCTTCTCCGGATCGTCTATAAAATCGCCCACCTGGCAAGCGTCTTTGGCCAGGATCTTTTATGGCCTTCCTTGCTCGGATGTTCCTTGAATTCACTTATTTATTTATTTTTATTTATTTGGTTTGTCAATCGCTTACAAGATAATAGGTATAAGAATAAACATGAGTAAGAATACAGGAAATAGGTACGAATACATGGGGACAATAGGACCAGGGACGGGAGGCACAATGGTGCACTTATGCACGCCCCTTATAGACCTCTTAGGAATGGGTATTCTCTCCCTTCCTTTCTCTCCTCCAACCATTCTTTTCTTTTCTCTCCTTCCTTCCTTCCTTCCTTCCTTCCTTCCTTCCTTCCTTCCTTCCTTCCTTCCTTCCTTCCTTTATTTTTTATTTTATTTATTTATTTGATTTGTCAATCGCTTACAAGATAATAAGTATAAGAATAAACATGAGTAAGAATACAGGAAATAGGTACAAATACATGGGGACAATAAGACAGGGACGGGAGGCACGATGGTGCACTTATGCACGCCCCCTTACATTCCTGTTAGGAATGGAGTGAGGTCAATAGTGGATAGTTTGAGATTAAAGGAGTGGTGGGGTTGCAGGATGTAACAACGGAGTCAGGTAGGACATTCCAGGCATTGACCACTCTGTTGCCGAAGTCGTACTTTCTGCAATCAAGTTTGGAGCGGTTTACCTTGAGTTTGCATCGGTTGTGTGTGCTCTTGTATTGTTGCGGTTGAAGCCGACGTACAGTAGTCATTGCGAGGCGGTTGCTGGGAATGAAAAGCAGGCAATAACTGAGCGATAACTTGGTGTCCACAGATGCCGCTACAAAATCTGACTAGCCAAGTCTCACGGGGAAGACCTTAACGGACCATTTTTCAGGGCAAGCACCCCCGGGCTGGGGACCCCACTCTCCTCGCTCCAGGTCTGGATCCCTCTGTCAGTACGTGGCAATGACAGAGGGGGTGGGGGCGGTCTGGGACACCCAGAAGACCCCTCCAGGGGGATTCCCTTTTGGCTCCTGTGCTACTTTCCCTGGAACGATGAGAGCAGAAACGTCGGAAACTCCACCAGCCGCTCTGTGCAATTTTGCCTTCACTAAAACATAAACATCCCTGATTAAATGCATAATAAAATAAATAAATAAATGCGTCTCTTTTGTGGCATTTTTTTAAAATAAATTTTTAATCAAACAAAAAACAATGAATGTGGTGCATACATCCTGACACACCTACTTCTCTTACAACATTAAGTAATAAATATAAACAATCATACAAATTTACATATATACATAAACTTCAGTCATCTTTGGTACACTTATTCGTTCCTTTTTTCAACCAGTGATAAAACTTCTCCCAAATTTTATAATAATCAGATTTGGTCTTATTTTTT